GGGGGGAGGACGGTCAGCGGCAAGGATGGCGGGGGGAGCGGCGGCAACTGCGGCCCGACCGGGTGTGGCGGGGCAGCACGAGCGGCACGGCACGGGGGTGGGGAAGCGGCGGCAGTTGCAGCACGGCTGGCAGCGGCAGAGTGCACGATCGGTAAGGGGGGGGGGCTTCAAGATTGGGAAACGCGACGGTGTGTCTGAACAGGCGTGCAACAAAGCGCAACCTCTGTTTGGTGTGTGTGTGTGTGTGCGCGCGCGCGTGCGTGCGTGCGTGCGTGCGTGCGTGCGTGCGTGCGTGCGTGCGTGCGTGCGTGCGTGCGTGCGTGCGTGCGTGCGTGCGTGCGTGCGTGCGTGCGTGCGTGCGTGCGTGCGTGCGTGCGTGCGTGCGTGCGTGCGTGCGTGCGTGCGTGCGTGCGTGCGTGCGTGCGTGCGTGCGTGCGTGCGTGTGTGTGTGTGTGTGGTGTGTGTGTGGTGTGTGTGTGGGTGTGCGTTATATATATATATATATATATATATATATTTCCTGACCACTCTGAGAAAATCAACGCGCCCCCGCCCTTGTACGACACATGCTGTACAACAACAGCAAGGAGGCTGCCGAATGGCTCCCCAAAAGATCCCAACAAACATCCGAGAGGCCTGTGAGAGGGGGGGCTTCAAAACGGCCCCTCGAAGACCCAAGGCAGCCCGAATATGTAACCACACGAAACGGTCCTGGGGTGGCCACCAGGAAGGCCTCAAGGAGACCCAACGAAGCCCCGAGGGCCCGTCGATGGCCCCAACGTGGACTCAATGTAGCTCGGTCCTGGAAGCAGATAGCTCGAGTGCCCGGGTCGGTATGAAATATCCTATACAGCGGGCGGCTTCGGCATCTCTGAATGCCCGGAACATCAAATTTCTCTTCGCGGCAATTGTTGCTCCCGCCTGCTTCCGCAAAGCGGAGCCGCACTCGATTTACTTCCTACAACTTCCACTGGCCTTCCGCCGCCTTCCGCTGAAGACAAAACGTGTGTCGATCCCCGCTGCAGGCAAAACGCGAGGCCTAATCCATTCGCGTTCACATGCGTGCGACCACGCGCACCCGTCTCGAGGTTCAGAGAGACGAGGGCATAAAACGCCCGTGTGTATTCCTGTCGAAGGGAGGCCTGTAAAGGTCAGATCCACCCCCTCCCTCGCTTGCAGCGGCTGGTGTGAATGTGTGAGTGTGTGCGTGAGTGTGTGCGTGAGTGTGTATGTGAGTGTGTGTGTGTGTGTGCGTGTGTGTGCGTGCGTGCGTGCGTGCGTGCATTCGTGCGTTCGCGTGCGTGCGTGCGTGCGTGCGTGTGCGTGCGTGCGTGTGCGTGCATGCGCGCGTGTATGTGTGTATGTGTGTGTGTGTGTGGGGGTGTGCGTGTGCGTGTGCGTGTGCGTGTGTGTGTGCGTGTGCGTGTGCTTGTGCGTGTGCGCGGGTGTGGGTGTGGGTGTGGGGGTGGGCGCGGGCGTGTGTGAGTGTGTGTGTGTGTGTTCGTTGTTGTTGTTGGTGCTGTTGTTGTGCGTGTACTGTTGTGTGTGTGTGTGTGTGTCTGTGTGTCTGTGTTTGTGAGTGTGTGTGTGTGTGTGAGTGAGCGTTTGTGTGAAAGTGTGTATGTGTGTACGTGTGCATATGTGTTTGTGTGTGGTGATGGGGGGGGCGTGGGACCCTCCGTTCGTGCGGTTACAACCAAATGTTTTTTGGATTTCAACAAAGGTCATCACATTGAATTGCCCACAAGCATAATCAACGTAGTCTATGTTGAACTTGTCCTTGCTTCTACACGGTTCCCAGAAGCATCGACAACCAGAACCAATGTGTAAGCCATTGACAAATTGATTCTGAATGTGGGGATTTCCAGAGGCAGCGCCTTGGCGCCGCGGGAGCTTACCAAGAAGACAAGAAAAAGTCAATGTGGAACCCATTTACACATTGATTTTAATAGTGGGGAATTTCCAGAAGCAGTGCCGTGGGGCCGCGGAGGCTTACCAGGAAAACAAAAAAAACACGAACACCATGAACAACGCTCTGTTTGCACATGGAAAACATGATTTGCTCTGCAACAAAAAAAACTGTCAGTCACAGGTTTTCCATGTTTTTCCATATTTCTCTATGTGAACACCCAGCGTTGTTCCTGTTGCCCCTGTTTTTTTTTCCACGTTCTCCTACTAAGCCTCCGCGGCCGCACTGCAAGCCCCTGCAATTTTTCGCAATTAAAATCAATCTGGAAAGCCCTACAATCAAATTCAAAATGTAAATGTCCACACTTAAAATGAATTTGAAAAAGCCCACAACCAAATTCAAAATGCAATTCCCCACCAAGGAATTCAAGTTGAACCACATGTACACATTGATCTTAATTGTTGCTATTTTCCCAAAGCCGTGCCCTGGGGCCGCGGAGACTTACCAGGAAAACAATAAAAAAAAACAGGAAAATCAATAAAAAAAAACGTTGTGTTTTCACAGGGGAAAACACGAAACACTAAAAATGAACTGTCAATCACATGTGTTCTTGGTTTTTCCTGCTCTTCCATTTGAGAACACAGCGTTTTTCCGGTGCTTCATGTTTTCCCGTTTTCCTGCTAAGCCTCCGCGGCCGCACAGCAAGCCCCTGCAATTCCCCACAAGTGAAATCAATTTGGAAAGCCCTAAAATCAAATTCAAGTTGTAAACCTCCACAATTCAAATCAATTTGGAAAGGACCGCAATCAAATTCAATGTGTAATTCCCCACAAAAGAATTCAATTTGTAGCCCATGTATAAATTGATTTCGATTGTGGGGCTGGAGAATTTCCAAAAGTAGTGCCCCGGGGCCGCGGCGGCTTACCAGGAAAACAAAAAAAAAGGAAAACAAGAAAAACGCTGTGCTTTCACATGGACAAAACAAGAACCACTAAAAAAGGACGGGCAGTCACATGTTTTGTTGTTTTTTTTGCTGTGTTTTTCCATGTGTAAACACAATGTTTTTTTTTCTGAGTTTCCTGATGTTCCTCTTTTCCTACTACGCCTCCGCGGCCGCACAACGAGCCCCTGCAATTTTCCGCGATTAAAATCAATATGGGAAGCCCTACAATCAAATTCAATGTGTAAATCTCCACAATTAAAATCAATTTGAACAAAAAAAGACCCACAATCAAATTCAAAATGCAATTCCCCACCAAAGAATTCAATCTTTAACACACTTACGCATTGAATTTAAGTGTGGGGAATTTCCAAAAGCAGCGCCCTGGGGCCGCGGAGGCTTACCAGGAAAACAAGACAAACAGGAAAAATAATAAACAAACGCTGTGATTCCACAGGGAAGAACACGAAACACCAAAAAAGAACTGTTAATCACATGTGTTCTTGGTTTTTCTTTCCTTTGAAGACACAGCGTTTCTCCGGTTTTTTATGTTTTACCCGTTTTCCTACTAAGCCTCCGCGGCCGCACAACAAGCCCCTGCAATTCTCCACAATTTAAAACAATCTGGAAAGCCCTACAACCAAATTCAATTTATAAATCTCAACAATTAAAATCAATTGGACAAGGCCCACAATCAAATTCAATGTGTAATTCCCCACAAAAAAATTCAATGTGTAACCCATCTGACGTTGCAAGAACAGTCGGCCAAGTTGCACTAGCGCTCCGTGGACAAGCTACTGATGCACTAGTATCCGTTTCTAGTATCCGTGCACTAGTATCCGTTTCTTCGCCCGCCGCTCGTTGTTAGCGTCGTGTTGTTCCCTGTACTTCTTGGATCCCTTCGGGGGGTTGCCCATGGCCGAATACGGGTGTGAAACGTGGCCCGCAGAAGAAAACTTGAACATAGATGCGTATTACCGGCACGCTAACAATGACTATGATGATTAGGTTTGCAATGGGATTGCAAAAAGGAATCAATAGGACCTCCGCACCTCCTCCCTCTGTTCTTCCAACGGAAATCGGGAAGAGCATGAAAACGAGACCAAGAATGATCAGGAGGAGGAGGGGGAGGAATGAGGGAAACATACAGTGAGAGACACTGGAAATACCGAACACGATGCACGTGTACAATGAATAAGCTGATCGTCCATACCGTTCTAATCGCTAGGAAATTGATCAAGAAAGCGCTGTTGTAATCATACGAGCGGCGGGTCGCATGGGGGGGGCCTTGATTTGTATAGGTTTCGCATCTTGGGAAGCACTAGTTTCCCCCCCTAGTGCACGAAATGTGATCTCCGTAGAGAAACATTGCAGCTACATTAACATGAACTTGGATCGGCGCTGGACGCCCCTCACGAGCGTGCGGAGCGCGCCAGGGGCGGCGCCAGAGGCGCCGTTGCCAGGGGCGTCCAGCGCCGATCCAACAAATACGAGCGAAGCTCCGAAAGTTTGTGTTTATGCAGCTCATTCTCCCTGGACACCAAAATAGAAACTCTGGTAGGAACTCACCACATGCCCCCCCCCAGGCCCCACCAGTGAACTGCGCCGGATGCGGGACTATGACCAGCAGCGAGCAGATCTCGCGTGAGGTGCCACTGCCGAGGGGTATGCGGAGAGGCCCAGGACACACGCGCTGAGGGACCCGAAGCGAGCTGGCCTGTCGAGCGTCGGCATGGCCCCGATTCGGCCCACCGCTCTTTAGAGGCGTCCTAGGTGGGGTCGGAATAGATGGGGTCGGAAAACCGATACATCGGCGATGCATCGTCGATGCATCCGTGATGCACCAGCGATAAATCGTCGACGTCGGCGATGCATCGGCAACGTCGATGTCAAGCAAATCGGGCCCCACATCGAGCCGCATCGGCGATGCATCGGCGATGCGGCGCAGTCCTCCGACCCCATTCTACTCCTACCCCGTCTGGGAGGCCTAGACTCTTTTCCAGTAACAAAATGGCAACGGCGGCTCTCCTGCCAGGTTCCTCGGTCAACCTCTGCTCTGGCCCTCAGGGGGGGACCGTCTGTGACTCGGCCCGCTCACGGCAGGCCTGCCTCGGCGCTGCCGGGCACGGGGTCGGGCGGCGTGCCGCGCGCTCACCACGCGAGGCCCTTGGCGATGCGCTCCCGGGAGGGGCACATGTTCAGGCACTTGTTGGTCACGCTGTCCGGGTGCTTGGCCTCGGGGAACTTGCCCGCCTCGAAGCGCTCGATCAGGGCCTGCAGCCCCTGGGCCCCCTCCGCGCCACCCTCGAAGCGGGAGTAGTCCTCGGCGAACCCGCTGGCCATCCTCTCCTGGAGCATCGGTGGACCGATCCCCAACCCCACCGGTGTGGCCTTGGCCCCACCCGGGCCGACTTGCCCCCCACCCCTGAGGCATGTGTGCTGCTACCTCCGGGCGACGCGGGGCCTACCTCCACCTGGGGGGTGAGGGGGCTGGTGGGGCTGAGATGCCATGGCCCGGCGGGAACTGGGATAGGTTACCAGTTTGAAACACTTCCTTATCCCTGTGTGTGGCACCACCTCACCTCGATGCCGATCTTAAGGATCCCCTCAATTTCTGAGGGCACATCCCTAAGATTGTCCTCGCTTTTTGCTCGCCCGTCTTAGGGATAGGGATGAGTCAGAGGCTGGTTAATACGTCAGTGACGACGCTGACTCCTTGTGCCTGGTAGTCCGCATGGCCCGCGCCTGCGACGAGAGGCCCATCGGGTTGGGCGACTGGCATGCGTACCTGCCCAGGGAAGAGTCGTACGGGTTGATGACGAAAGTGCCGCTGCACCTCATGCGCCTCACGGCGCCCTCGACCCCACCCTTGGTCAGCCCCTCGGCCAGGAGGTCCTCAAAATTGCTGGAGAGGTTGATCTCCTCCACCGACATGGGCGCGAAGCCCTGGAAGCGGTCGCGGTGGATCACCATGAAGCCATGGTAGATGCCGGTCGCGTTCCCGACCTTGCAGACGCCCCTCTCCGAGGTCCGCATGGAGGTGCACAGGTCTGGGGGCTGCAGCACCACCGCGTTCGGCTCCTTGCGGAAGAAGCGCTGCGCCAGCTCGACGATCCCCGTCTCGCTCTCGCGGTACACGAAGCTCGTCGAGTCCATGAAGATGCACATGTCGATGTCCGCCTCGGCGTCCTGGCACAGCTCCATGAAGTGCATCATCCCGAGCAGGCGCGCAGCCTTCGCCCGGGGGTCCATCCTCGAGAGGTTCGCGGGCGCATCCTTCCTGAAGAGCTGCAGGGCCTTGGGGTGGTTCTTGTAGAGCTGGAGCGGGCTCTGGCCGAAGAAGCGCTGCAGGAGCTCGCTCATCTTCGTGTAGTTCACGCTCTTCACCTGGACGTTGCCCGTGGCGCCCTGCGAGCGCCGGTAGCGGGCGAGGAGCGGCTCCTGCGAGCTCTTCCTCACGAGCGGCGATCACACATGTTGCCGTGTCATGAAATCTAAGGGCGCGTTCTTCGTGAATGCCTGGGCTTCCCAAGGAGTCCCAGGGCTTCTGTGGGTCCATGGGGTCACCGCGGGATAAGAGGGTTTCCTAGGGCCACCAGGCCAGCTCCTTATCTGATGCGCCTACCCTATTCATATCCACGCCCTCTCGGTCTGGACTCTGGGACGCGACCCCGTGGGTCGCACGGAAACGCTCCGCGCGGGGCAGCCGCGAAAAAACTGGGTCGTCTCCAGGGGATCGCGGCCCAGCGGCCAGGCCCGCGAGGCCGTGGATACGGATCACTGTTTCCCGCCCACGACTTCCTCTCGTCCCAGGGCGGGTGGTTGTCGATGATGGCGGCCTCCAGTGTGCTCATGTTGCCGGTCAGCATGCGCATGTGGTGCTCCAGCATGAGGTCCACAGGGATTTCGTCATCGGGCATGACCATCGTGGCCAGCAGGGCCCTGGACTTCTCCTTGGCCTTGGGCTTCAGCATGTCCACGCCGTCGGCCTCGTCGGAGCCCTGCCGGATGCTGATTCCAGCTGCGTGGAAACCCAAGAGGGCGAAGAGGAAGAGCTGCATCGCAGACGCCATCACACGAATGGCCGAAATTCGGGGCGGAGATTTATTCATATCCACCGCCTGGTAACCGATTTCTTGGGACCCCACGGGGGCGGTGGGTACGCATATCTTTGGGCCACCCGAGGCCCAAATAAATCCATATCCACAACCCCCCGAGGTCCAGGGAGATCGGATTCCAGGGCGGGGGATGTAGACAAATCCACGCCCTGGACGAAAGTACAACAAAGTGGAAGGTGAGCTATGCCCTGCAAGCCTGAGCCAGAGTGGCCACAAAGGAGAGTGGGAGGCGGACACAAGAGGCGAAGGAGGGACGGGAGTCGACGGTACGAGCGTGACATGACGGGACACAATCGTCGTGCTGACAGAAGGAGTACCGAACAAGGAAAGAGATGACTTTTCTGGCCACGGCGAACCTCACCACTAATAGGTCGGCAACGCCCAGAAAACAAGAGCCCCTTCTGAGTCCACCGTTGCCCTCACTTCAGCAACTCGACTGTAGGACGGGATGGCAGGCCCGGGGACGGACATGCAAGACGAAGCCATTACCTGGCCAAACTCAGTCCAGGACACATTGGGGATCCCTGAGATCTGGCAGTCCTGGAGGGTACATCGTGCACCGCGACCGTTCCTGAGCGCTCTGGAAAGCTCTGGGAGCGTTTGGGAACGCTCTGGAGAGATTGATCCTGGTTCTTCGGGAACCCACAAGAAATTACCGTCACAGCTACTCCCCGGACCTCTCCTGGGCTGCGCTCTGACCAGAATTTTGAGGCGAATCCATCGGTGGCGACGAGGGCCTCCCATGAGGCCGAAAAACAGAAAGCGGGCGCTGGGTAGCGACATCGATACCTCCAAAACTGATAATAATCATGCGCGACAGGGATGCAAGCCCCTTGGACGCGAGACTCTTCGAGCTGGGCTAGCCATCGAGTGGTTAAAGAAGGACCGAAGACTAAGAGGCAAGAATGCAAGGGTACCATTGGGAAGGTTACCCATCCTCACCATCGGTTCCGACTGCCTTCTCCTCCTCTGAGATCTAGCCCCGCCCGAGCACGGCAGGAAGGGGGACGGGGCGGAACGTCGGGGGCGTCCAAGAGGGGGGCGTCCAAGAGAGGGGGGCGCAAATCATGGCCAGCGGCATGTGCACGGCACAGTGGGGGGCCAAGCGACGCATTCAAATAAGAAGAGGCGCCATGAAATCTGGGGAGATAACACACAGGACATGCGAGGGTACCCTCCCCCAAGATGCGCAAGAACATCCACCAAACACGAAAAACATCAGGGAACTCCCGCGAACCGACCTCAACCTTATAACTTATACCCCCTCCGAGCGCAGCTCGTGTCGACACGTACTCAAAAGATGCGTTTGCGTCACGTATTCCTCGTTCTGCTGGCGACGTGCACGAGGGGATGGCGCGAGGTGTGCGGCCTTTCTAAGAAGGCGGGGTGCCTGCTGAGAAGGCAAAGGCGTTCGTAGACTGGCCCAGGAGCTCTACGAGGTCTTCTGATGAGCCTCCGGGGTATTCTACGAAGGCCCCTGCTTTCTTAGAAGCTCCCCCGCCTTCTTAGAATGCTCCCCCTTGCGCCTTCATCGTGTGCGCGTCGCCGATTCTATGTTGCCCACATCATCGCAGAATGAGCATCGGATAACATCCGATGCGCGTACGCAGATACAGTTGCGCCCGCACGACGCCCTGGGCGCTGCGAACTGCCAGGGCGTCCCGAGGGCGCACAGCGAGGACGAATGATCAACCCGAGGAGCTGCTCAAAGATCGCGGTGGTTGGGCCAGTGCTTGGTAAGCGGGGCGGTGCTTGGTTGTCAAGGCGGTGTTTGGGTGGAGCCGTGCTTAGTGGGTGGTAGAGCAAGCAACACATGTATGCAACCGTTGCTTGTTTTTCGAAAGGAGGAGACGACCGTAGAGAGGTTCTTCGAAAGGAGGAGGAGGACGAGGAGGAGGACAAGGAGGAGGACGAGGAGGAGGAGGACGAGGGGGAGGAGGAGGAGGAGAATGTCGCCCCCGCTGTTTCGTCGTCCCCTCCCCCGCCCCTTGGAGGGTCCTCCTCGCCTGCGTGCTTTGTCTACTTTTGCATATGCAGGCTCTAGGTTGATCAACCTCCCCCAGCGGCAACTGCCGCTGGGGGGGATGTTGAGCAGGGAATGGTCCTCTTTCAGGCCAACAACGAAATTGCCCTTGAACCACGAATCAGACAAAACAGAGTCTGTACAACATGGAGCCGATGTGTGAAAGCCAGATGGTGTCAGCCAGAAACTTTCTAAGAACACTTCGCGCAAACCACAAAAAGGTTCTAAGATCATTGCTTGGTGGGCCTATAGGCGAGCCAAGACGCTTCGCCACTGCTTGAAGATGGCAACCTTGAGTATCGGGGAGACGTAAGACCCGGGTTCGGGGGGCTCGGGTCGGCATGACAAGGCTGTGATGGAAATCGCGAGGCCGTCCCACGAAAACGGAACCGTGAAACTCCAAGAGGCGCTCGTCAGAAAGCGTCGGCACACCCGAGCTCTGGCGCACTCGATCCGAGCCCCATGCTCCCCCCCCAGAAGTGTCGAGGCCCACTGCCTGCAGCAGCAGCAGCGGCATGACTCGGAGACTCTCGGATGTCCAGACGCGGCGGCGGCCGGCGGCCGGCGGCGAGGGCGGCGAGCGCCGCGCCCTCGGCCTCCAGCTGCGCCCTGCGCGCGTCGGCCTCCCGCAGCTCCAGCCGGCTCTGGGCGCCCTCGCTGGCCAGAAGCTCTTCCCGCGAGCTCAGGGCCGCCTGGCGGGGTCCACCGACGCCGACGCCGACGAGGACGCCGATGACGACTACGAAGACGAGGACGATGACGAGGACGATGAGGACGAGGACGAGGACGAGGAGGACGAGGAGGACGACGACAAGGACGACGAGGAGGACGACACGGACGCCGACGACAACCACGACGGCCACGACGACGAAAACGGCGACGGCGACGACAACGACGACGAGGGTGCGTGCGGCGAACTGGGACGAAGACGACGCAGGCCTCCAGGAAGGATCGGAAGAAGGAGGAGGAGGAGGAGGAGCTGGCGACGCGCGTGGAGGAGCGGGGCGCGGGGAGGCGGACTATTAAGAGAAGGCATGGGGCCGGGCGTGCAGAAGGCCTCCGAGATGGCGTCCTGGAAAAAAGGAGGGCCTCCCCCCTCCCGCCACCTCCCCTCCTGGGCGCCGTCCAGGAGAAGGAGGAGAAGGAGGAGGAGGAGGAGGACAACTGAGGCTTCGGGTCATGTCTGGCCCTCTGGAGGGCGTCCCGGGAGGCATCTGGAGACCACGCAGGGCGTCCCAGAAGCGAAGAGGAAGTCACGACCCAAGGAAGAATTGACTCGCAATCCTGGCTGGCCACACCCCAGGCCAGCCCAAGGACTGGACCTGGGTTCAGTTTCCCATCCGTCTCCCCTTTCTGGGTCCAAGCCATCCTTTGTCGTCCTCATCTTCTCTTGCCGTTCTCATGCTCTCTCCTCTCTCTCCTCTCTCTCTCTCTCCTCTTCAACTTCATCTCCCCTCTCCTCTCGTGCCCCCTGTGAGGATTAGGTATGTCCCTTGCTCTCGATCCTCTGTCCACACTTGTTCTGTCCTCTATCCGCTCTCCGCGCCCGCCGCCTCTCCTCTCCCAGCTCCTGCGCTGTGCTTCCTCTCCATCCCCCGCCCTGCTCCTTGAAAGCCGGGACTGCCATAGACCTTAGGACAACCGATGCCTCTCGGCGGCACTTCTGGGATCCTCTCGGAGCCACCTGGAAGGCATTCGACCCTCTCCGGGCTATCTTGGCCATCGTGGATGCGTCCTGGGTTTTCCGCAGCCCCGGCGAGACCTCGCTGGCCATCGTGAAGCTCTCCCGGGGCTCTCTTGGGCCGGCTGCAAGGCTAATCATGGGGGCCGCCTTGGGGTGATCTTGGGGAGCTCTGGTGCAGTCGTGGGCACTCTTTAGACCGAAGGGGCGATACATGTAGTATCACTAAAGCAGCCGTCGGCACCTACGCGCTCGGAAGGGAACAAAAACTGAAACCAGCGACAGGGGCCAGGTCGCTCCACCAGCCTGAATAGCCGAAGCTGGAAGCTGCCGGAAAACCGCTTGGCAAAAAAGACAGGGAGGAGCATGTGCGCACTATAACCCCTAATCTACTCTCAACCAAACCTACGCAACTTGCAAATTGGTCGTGAGCAGACAGCCGCCGGCAGCCTGTTGATGGATGATCAAACAGGAGGAGAAAGAGGATAATCACGAAAAGAACGAGGTCGTTTCGAAACCCTCATGGCGCCCTCAAGGGCCGCTCTGTGGCCCCCTGGGGGCCCGCTGAAGTCCTCGTGGGGCCATTTTGGACCGTACCAGTTCGTTGCCTCTCTTGTGGCTTGTCCCTTCCTCAATCTCCCTGCCATCTTTAGTTGGAGCGCTCCCGAAACTACGTGAACTGTCCCGTCTTGGGCCCCTCTTGGGGCCTTCTTGGTGGCATCGCGGGCCGTCTGAGGAACGCCTTGTTGGCCGTCTTGAGGCAATATTGGGCCGACTGGGGGCTCCCTTGAGGCTTTATTGAACAATCTCGGGCTGGTCTGGGGGGGCGTGTTAGGCCATCTTTGGCGTTCAGGGGACCGAGGGGGAACCCGAAAACCTATCAACCACCTAAGGAACAACCTTTCAACTACCTGGAGCAGGAAGGATGGAGGGTGGGAGGAGGACGACGTGGAAGAGAGGTGGCAGGATCCTGATCGGATTCAAGTGCCAGCAGAGTCTGCGTCAAGTGGAGAAGGAGAGAAAAAAAGGAGCGAGGCGAGGGGTCGGCCGTCATTAGGCACGAGCTGCTCACCCCAGCCAAGCCCCACAACAAAAGGGATTACATGGGCCGTAACGCGGGCCAGGAGGCACGCAGCAACACGGGAGGAACCG